GATACACACAGTTACACACTGAGACACACAAATGCACACACAAAAACACAAAATCACATCAACACACACATTAACACACTAACACACGTACACACTAACACACAGAACCCTACACACACTCACACCATATACACTTGTGCTTTTATTTTTTTAAAGCTGCTAAATCATAAAGTAAGTGTTGAAAACACTTTGAGTAGAATTGTCCCTCTGAGCTTTCCGTACATGTGAGTTTCTCCTGAGGGCTATAATATTACCTGAAGAATGACATTTATTATAAAATAATTTTATATAAACAGGAACAGGAGTTTCACAACATGCAGGTGGACGTTGTCCCCAGACTGTCCTTGATGTCCTCAGTCCACCCTGAGACCCCACCCCGCTGCGGATCCATCAGGAGGACCCCTTCAAAATAAGACTATAGACCTCTGCCCAGTGAAACTGCTCCTCGTGCGCGTGCGCGTGTATTGATCATAGATTTATGGGACTCTGAGGGGCAGCTCGTGCTTTTATTGTGAAAAAAACAGCAAAAGTCGTTCTGTCGGCTGCTTTGATCCCAAAACGTCATCGAGATTCATCTCCTCAGAACCCCTCCGCACAGAAAAACAGACCCTCCGCTCAGAGTCCGGTACCACGGGTCTGGGTCCGGTCCGACCCGCTGAGTCAGCGCTCTGCTGCCGCACTGTGACGTCACTGCACGCACGCTAACTCGCGTCTTTTCCATTAGTAACAAAACTAAAATCCGCAGAAGAAAAGATGAAAACGGTAAATACTCACTCCATCTTCGAGCTCGTGCGGGTCCACTGCACTCCGAACCAGAACCGTCTGATGTGTCCATCCACAGACACAACAGACCCGCCCACAGGGGGGGGGGGGGGGGGGGGATGGAGGTGATGAGAGCAGAACCCAGACTGAACACAGAACCAGGCTAAGACCCTGGACGAGAGAACCTGGATCTGAATCCAGGAGGTTCTTTCAATAAATAAAAATATTTTTCTGAACCAAATTATTTTAAGAAGTTTTTGCGTCCAGTCCTCCTCTGCTCATCTCCTCCAACTGCAGCTGCAGACACATGTGGCCTCGGATGTTCATCACTTCCATCAGCTGCTTGTTCTTCTCAAGTTCAAGGTTCTTTATTCTCATCACGTGTGGTACATGAGGTGGAACAAAATGGTGTGCTCCGGGTCAGTTACACCCAAAAATATAAAAAAGAAGAAACAGTATACAAGGATCTATAATATACGCTAAACAATAATCATACTGTATACAGTGCATTAAACAGCAGCCTGAACATGAGTCTGTTGTGAGCAGATGGGTCTGAATACAACAGCTTAAGGTAATCAATCAATCAATCAATCAATCAATCAACTTTATTTATACCTTTAGGTAGTTTTGGTTACAGTGAGGTGAGTCAGCAGGAAACTTGACATAGACACACAATAAATATAAAACATAAATATAACATGATTAAAAATAGATTCAAAAATGGCCCGGTGCTATGCTAAATCGAATTTTGGAAGCTGCAGCAGGAACAAAACTGGTTTATACCGCTTAGTTTTATGAATCAAACATCTGCGTCTCGATGGGAGGAGCCTGAACTTATTTCCACTAATTAAGGTCCACATTTTGATCTACTTAATTTGTCTTTAATGGATGGTTATGTACCACAGAGCTTTAAGTTGCTGTAATTAAACCTTTACTTAAGAAGTCTGACCTTGATTCAGAAATTCTGGCCAACTATAGACCTATATCTAATCTAACTTTAATCTAAAAAAATTCTAGAGAAAATAGTTGCAGGTCAGTTGTGTGAACATCTGCAAAGAAATAATCTGTTTGAAGAGTTTCAGTCAGGGTTTAGAGCTCATCATAGCACAGAAACAGCACTAGTAAAAGTCACTAATGATATTCTCATGGCCTCAGACAATGGACTTGTGTCTCTACTGGTCCTGTTAGACCTCAGTGCTGCATTTGATACAGTTGATCATAATATTTTACTACAGAGGCTTGAATATGATGTTGGGATTACAGGAACAGCTCTAAAATGGTTTAAATCAAATCTATCTGATAGATTCCAGTTTGTAAATGTAAATAATAAATCTTCTTCATACACCAAAGTTAGTCATGGAGTTCCTCAAGGTTCAATGCTCAGACCAATACTCTTTACCTTATATATGCTTCCATTATGTAAAGTTATTAAACAGCATGGGATAAATTTTCATTGTTATGCTGATGATACACAGTTATATTTGTCCATGAAACCCAATGAATCCAATCAGCTACTTAGACTACAAGCATGTCTTAAAGACATAAAAACCTGGATGACCCTTAATTTTCTCCTGTTGAACAGACAAGACTGAGGTTTTAGTTTTTGGACCTGAGCACCTTAGGAATGAATGTTTCAGTCTTTCTCCTTCCTTAGATGCATTAATCTGTCCTCCAGCTCTAATGTTAAAAATCTTGGTGTTATTTTTGATCAGGACATGTCTTTTATCCCCCACATTAAAAACTTACTAGAACCTCCTTCTTCCACCTGCGTAATATCACTAACATTAGAAACATCTGATCTAAAGATGATGCAGAAAAACTGGTCCATGCATTTGTCACGTCTAGACTGGACTATTGCAATGGTTTATTATCTGGGTGTCCAAATACTTCTTTAAAACGTCTTCAGTTGATCCAAAATGCTGCTGCCAGAGTCTTAACTGGAGTTACTGGGAGAGATCATATCTCTCCAGTTTTACCTTCTCTCCATTGGCTCCCTGTCAAATCCAGAATAGAATTCAAAATCTTACTTCTAACCTACAAAGCTCTCAACAACCTAGCTCCATCTTATATTACAGATCTT